CCTCTTTAAATAAAGTCTCTATCTATCTATCTATCTATCTATCTATCTATCTATCTATCTATCTATCTATCTATCTATCTATCTATCTATCTATCTATCTATCTATCTATCTATCTATCTATCTATCTATCTATCTAACAAGTTCTGTTATATTACATATATATTCTGTATATGTAATTACCTTGCTGGATATTTATTTTATTTGGAATGTTCACTATGCTTTGTTTGTTTTATAGCGTTTTATACAACTTTTTATACAACTTTTTCATGACATTTATTAAAGACCAAATGAAGAATGAACTGGAAGAAGTTGTAAGTTTCATACACGCTTTAACTTTTACATGATCCACTCCTCTACATAAGATGGAATGTAATTTTTCACCAAAGTTACGAAACATTTTGCAATTTTACAATTAAAAGTAACGAGTTTGAAGGATTTGTAAAAAAATATTTGAGGGAACTGACTCAATCGGGCCCGCAGTAATTGGCTGTTGCGGTCACCCAGCCGTGGTCATGTACCTATTGTATTTCATTATGTACGTTTGTTTTTGTCCTGTCATGTAATGTACTGTTTCATCGGCAAAGTTTATAAATTAAAATTAAATTAAATTAATGTTTATTATTAAGTTAGTTTGCTCAAAAATTTCTTACAAATCCTTCAAAGCTTAGAATTCACTATGCAAAATTCCTACTGTGATCACAGAAACTTTTGATAGTGTACCAGCCTATGGCTTAGTCTATATACTCTGCCATGCATGCTTTCATAGTTGAAAATTAGTTGTCAAAGCTTTGTTGCACAGTTATTCAGCTATCAATCAATAATTTGTAGGAAATAATTGGTGGGGGGGGGGGGGTGCTCCCTTCTCTATAGTGTTCGACAGGCATTGAATAAAGTGATTGTTATATGATACTTATATATTTTAATTTTATAGATTTGTCGTAACGCGATAAAGGCAGTTAATAAAGAAATCAATGCTACATTGAGGACAATTCCAGGTGTTGTTGATAATATTGTCAAACATATGACAATCCCAAAAGCTTGAGTGTATCTCTTCATCCCATGAAACAAGTAAACTCCATTATAGATTCAGTTGATCACAATGACTATCTTAATGTAAAGATCTTTTGAAATGTGGCACTGAAAATGAGAAATTGGAAGCACTACATGTATACTAAAATTTACCCTGAGTATCAGGCCCTGTTTTCCCTTCCTCGTAGAGGGCCTACACAATTAAATCCCTGTCTATATAGCCCCATGTAAAAAATCAAAATCTGGCTTTTCACTTGACTGGTCTATACTAGACAAAAAATTTTAATATCTCTTTTTGTTAATACTAATTAGATCATACTATGTGTTCATGATATTGTTGTTGTTACAGTAGCTATTATGTGAAATTGACATTTCCCCTGGGATATATTATTGGATACTAAATAATTTTACATTGGGTGGAGAGTGATCGCATTAAGATTTGTGTCAGGCTCTGTTTTTAAAATAGAGAGGTTGATACTTTTAAAATTAAAACAAGTAGATCTTTTAGATAATTTTTTAGAAAATGAACGTTAAAAATTATACAAACAGATGAAAATAACTAAATATTTAAATTATTTCTGAATAAAATATTGTATAATAGGTTTCTATCAATAAATTCTCTGTTAAACATTATGATACAAAATTAGCTAATTTATATTTTATAACGAAAATAAATATGATAATGTTATATTTGATAAGGGTAATTTTTGTTCGGGCAACAGAATTTGAGAGGCCTCTGAACCGCGCAAAGGCCCTGGGTACGAGGTTGGTAGAACAAAGTCTGGACGAGAAGTACAAACGTGAAGAAGAGGAATGCTGTGGATGTATCAATTTTACTCCATGCATGCATTAATATTTTCTTGATTTTTACTAGAATTAACGATTGGTTTGAGCTTTATTTCGACGATGAAATTAATTTCGAAAACGCTATAAAATACGCTATATAATAAAAAAACGCTATAAAATACGTATTAAAATACGCTAACGGGTTAAGAGAGATACTAGTGTGATATTCAAGAAAGAAAATAAAATTTACACAGCTAAAAACGTGTTTTTTAATTTTCGTGAAACGGTTAATTTTGTTTTTACATGTGATGATGTGGAACGTGAAATGGTTGTTTTTCTTGACGTGATCTGAACCCATTTCTACCACCTTTACTACCTCGTACCCAGGCGCTTTATTATCTTTTGGCTATGTAATAGGGATACATGAAGTATTCAGACAAGCGGGCGACGAGCGAAGCCCTGGGTACGAGGATGCGAGCGAAGGGGCTGTTGGGAAAGTGTACTCTTCCCATCAGCCACTTCGTGCTTCTCTTGTCATTACTATTCTTTATGTAAACTCGTCAAATGCGCATGGGTACCAGACAGACACCTCAGATTTGCAAGAAATGTTTGAGGCAACTGGCTCAGTGTAAGCACCGAGTCAGTTCCCTGAAACACTTATTACAAATCCTTCAAAACTTAGAATTTATCAAAATCCCTACTGTGATCACAGAAACTTTTATAGTGTAAACCAGCCTTTATGGGAGTTAACAACCGTGGTATGAAGACAATTATATATATACGGTGTTCGTTTCCTTTGTATTTTCGGCTAATGAATCATTATAGTCGAACGATAAGTGCATTCAACATGCACATGATATAGAAACCTTCGTCGATCGATTTTATTACTGTTGCTAGCTTTTGTGTTCAAATAAATTAATAAGAATAAATCATTAAATAACAAAATACAATTGATGCTAGAGCATGAATAAGTACAAAAAAATGAAAGAAATTTAAAAACAGAATGAAGAGTCAAGCTTCAAGTTAAAGATAAATTGTAAGTATTTTTAAAATTAAATTGACAGAAATAAATATATAGTTATGTACTAGTTAAAATGTTATAAAACTATTTGCATTTAAATTAACTTCTGTTTTACATTATGCAAAGTTTAAACTAAATTTGTCTTATGTTTGATAATTTTACCTAGTTTTGGAAACAAAAATGTAGCATATATAATAACTTCTCTGGAACTAATATCTTTGTGCATGGATAAATGGCTGAACAAAATAAACATCTATTTCGATTTATAACAAAGACAAAGTAAAATGGAGAAGACTGTCTACAGACATGAAAAGTAACAGTAGTTTATTTTGTCATTCAAGGTGAAGAACGAATGTTCAATGATACTCTGAAAACCAATTACGACCTCGTACGTCCTCCTCAATTTCTTCATAATGGTGTCGAGAGTGATTTCAAGGTATACACATACACACACACACACCGAACATATATGATAAGATGAAATGTTCTCGATGAAATGTTGTGCAGTTTGGACGCATTCACTCCATAGTCCATAATATACATGCAGCTATTTCAAGTCGTAGTCATGCAATTGTACATTCCAAGCGCGAGCTGCAAATTGAGTATACCTATATTTTTAATTTTTTTAGCTGTTTAGGTAGCTTATGACTATAGCTGCACAACGTTGCATGCAATTTATCGGTGACAACAAGTATAGAAATTTACAAATCAGCGACAAACGGTTGAAGTTGCTTGAGACAACCTTAATTGAAATTATTGTATTCATTGTATTGTTATTTTTAGTTGAGTATTACTGAGTTCTTTTCTCTTTATTTTAGGGTGAATTTCTTAACGTGAAGCATCCTAAAACACCACCTTACACACCAGAAGAACTGCCACCAATAAGGGACGAGCATTCTAAGATGGTATATATATGGGTTACAGCGTATACCATTAATACTGCGTTCTTTGCTGTCAATCAAAGTGGATTACAATTCCTATTTGACAACGACAATGTAAGGATGATGATGTTTTATGATTTGTTATATTGTTTCCAGTTTTGGATTGTAAGAACACGGGGAGGATCATATATAGGTGCAAATTTTGCAGACCCTGACCATGCGCAATAGCTTTTGATGATGGAGGAGTGCGAATGTGTGCTTGTCATCCTTACTTGCAGCTGAGAGCTAAGCTGAATTACGAAGAACGCAGCTCAACCAAGCTCAACCTGATGGAGTCGAAGGCTCTCTAAGAGCACATGTGGCAGCCACGTTATGACTCATGTCTGATCATGGAGCACAACAACAGTGGAAGGGGCTGATCCCAAGCCACCATGTCAACATTTCCTGTGTGAGGAAACCGGACTACCCGAAGAGAACTCACGACGTTCGATATGGAGCCCGTTGACTGACTCTTTTTCATACATGTACGAGAGTGAGCAGTGAGATGGAACCTACGATCTCGGAAGAGGAAGGAGCTTGCTCTCACGACTGCGCCACCGCTGCATGTCTATATAAATACTGTTTTCTCACGAGTCACGGTTTTTAGGGCTTCCACTATTTCAGCGGCTCGTGGAAAATTCCGTTGCACGGATAGTTGGAACTGCTTACCAAAAATGAAATGATATGATTGATCATGCGGGAAGTGATCTGCACGATCTATGAAAATGATGAAAATGATAGCTCGTCAATTAAATGTAAATATTAAAAAGCTGCATAGCCGATTATTATTAGCCAATGTACGTGGAACAGCACAGTTGATCGGACATTTATCAGACACAAGCGAAATTGTTATAATCCATACTGACCTGCTCACGTTGTTCCAACATGTGATTCTGAGATGTCACAAATGCTCCAACATGTGATTCTGATATGTCACAAATGCTCAACATGTGATTCTGAGATGTCACAAATGCTCCAACATGTGATTCTGAGATGTCACAAATGCTCCAACATGTGATTCTGAGATGTCACAAATGCTCCAACATGTGATTCTGAGATGTCACAAATGCTCCAACATGTGATTCTGATATGTCACAAATGCTCCAACATGTGATTTTGAGATGTCACAAATGCTCCAACATGTGATTCTGATATGTCACAAATGCTCCAACATGTGATTCTGAGATGTCACAAATGCTCAACATGTGATTCTGAGATGTCACAAATCTCCTGCCGTATGGTATCGATATTTTTGAAGTAATTTATTCTTGACTTTCGGTCCCCCCCCCCCTGCATCAAGAAGCTATATCGGTCTTACCACTTTTCATGAAAACAATTTGATTGTTGTAGAGGCATGTGTTGTTTTTATTTGTTTGAATGGAGCTTTTTCTTTTAAAAAGCAATTATTGAATTCGGTTTTTGTGATATGCAAAATTATCAAGGTCTCGGTAAGCGTTATCAGCCTCGCCTTCGGCTCGGCTGATAACGCTTACCTCGACCTTGATAATTCCGCATATCACAAAAACCTCAATCCAATAATTGTTAATTATCAAACGCCAGAATGACAATTGCCTGCGATAATCGTATCATGTACATGTTGATTGTTTTTTTGCATCTTGAACTTATTTTCTTTAGTTGCCCGATGGTGCTCCTGTGGAATTGAATACAAACGCTTTTATGTTAGTTGTGCCAACGGTAGGTTTTAATATTTTACAGCGTAATTATACAACGAGTCACTCAAATAAATTATTGATTATTTTGTATTATAATGTTAGATTAACAATAAGGTATTCGTTGACGTTGTTGATCTAAGAATTTATGGTGTTGTGCCCAATCTTCTGTGCGGGTGTTAGCCTCGTTGCTACAGGTCCTTGTAAATTATCAGGGATGCCGGAAAGGGGGGGCATCGCCCCCCTTGCCCTTTAGTAAGGGGGCAGGGGGGGGGCGAAAGTGCCCTTATAGATAAAAATTCTAACCCAAAAAATATGAGGTACAACGATTAAAAAGTATGAATTACGGGTGAAATGTACGTAATATTGCCCTTGTGTAAGGTCCCGGAAAATTTTCGGAAACGAAATATTAATTAGTGATTGCCCTTACGTCAACATTGCCCCCCCTGTGCCCTACCCTCGCTCCGGCGTCCCTGTAAATTATATATATTATATATCACGTTGTGCTCCAAATCTTTATTAGTATTACTTTACAATCCAATAGTGGTTATACACTTTTAACTTTTCTATATCTGACTTCAGATTACAAATCCATGCGTATGATATACGATATCCCGATTTGTCATTTTGTCAGTTGTCAACCTACGTCACAACCTAACTAATTGTACATAACATTTACAGCTTAATAGTACAGCTTAACACGGGCTTGTGGTCTTTTAATCACAATTACCAAAAATCACGCGGGAAAAGGCTTGAGACGAGGTTGTGAAGCCATCTTGAGAAACGTCTGTTCAAGTATATATAGTAACCTATACCTTTAGCCTGTTTTATAATATAGGTATATATATAATGATGAAATATTGATTTCTATATAGTTATACTCCAAATATCCAAACAAAGACATGGCAATTCGTTACTGTAGTTCAGCTCCAGCTAAAATTACTCTTAACCCTGATGATGCATCAGTTACATTGTTTGGATTGATGACGTTTTATGTCATACTTGATGATAATAAGCTGGTGGACTGCTTTACACTAAACATGGTTTGTATTCAACTTTGGTTTTCTCTAGACGTGGTAATGCAAGTGTTCCTAAAATATTCTACCAATTTATTTGCTCATTCATTGGAGACATTTAACCAATTATCCGCTTCTTCCTATAATCCTGTATTTTGATCATTTCTGGTAACGGCCTGTCTCTTTGTATGATTGGTCAATTGCGCCAAAACTAAAGGTGATTGGTGCATTCAATTATCAATTTTACGGGAAATTATCAAATAACTGATCAAGCGAATTGTTTGTGTGAGCAAATGAATTGGTATAGAACACTTTCTCTTCGACGAAGTTTCCAATGGCATTAGACAGAATAAAATCCTGCAATCGTTTGGCATTGGAATAAAATCCTGAATTCAGTACATGTATCATTTCTAGTTTATACAGTGCGTGCTACGCGTCTGCCATGCATGCATGTTTCACTCCCATATAAAACAATCATTGTTTTAATCTGTTGTAAATGATATTTTGATTTGATATATGGAAAATGGACCCAGTACAAAATCCAGAAAAGCCGCTGTCCATGGTTGTAACATCCGTCCTTAAAATACAAATACAAAATGAAAGAGAGAGCGAAAATGACAAATCAATTTTTTATCCATTGAGTACCAGCGCTCTCCCCTTGACGAGCAAAAACATCTGCCGTCAAGGCTGCTCTCCAGTTAATTAAAGGCACAGTTCAGCGGCACTTCAGCCTTTTGAATGATAGTTTTTAAGGCGCATTTCAGCCCTTTTAATTGAAAAAAACTAACTAGGAAAAGCAATTATGCATAATTCAAGATCAGTATAAACTCAATGTTTTAACAATAGAAAATGTTTTAAAATGTTAAAACATTAAGTTTGCTGATCTTGAATTATGCTTGGTTGATTTTCCTAGTTAGTTTTTAATGCGCCTTAAAAACCATCATTCAAAAGGCTGAACTGTGCCTTTGAGCAGTTTTCATACGTGCGTGTACGCGGCACTGAAAAGTTTAAATCCTTTCAAATTTTACTCATGAAATAACTAACTGAAAAAAAGGACAGATTTTAGTTTTCTGTATATGGTATAATGTGTATTTGTTGTGGTGATTGGTACTTATATAAAATTTTGAAAGATTTAAAATGAAAAACACTTAACATCAAGATTTTGTTGGCATCTCACTCGACGGAATAATAGTTGAAGGGTATTGTAGAGGGCAGGGGCGCAAATGCAATTTTTGCGCACAAAGGACCGATTTTTTTCACGAGGGACCGACTTCGCGGCTCGTGCACACTACATAATTATTATTACGATCTTATATAGAATGAATAGTAACGCGGTCATTTTTCAATTCTTGTAATTTTAATATATACAACAACTACAACAACAGAATATCCTTAGCTGACTCTTTTCAAAAATAAACTAAATAGCAATGGGAGATTGGTTCTGTTATTCGGGCTGGTAATCGGTGATGTCCGCGGACCGTACGCCGCAGGATTTAACAATATGTTTCAAAGTTTAATTAGGCTTCCACTCTTCGGCAAATTTTCCCATTTCGTCGTAAGGATTGTGCTTCAAGGTCAATCTGATCAATCAAGTCTTTTTCGCAATTAGCCAATGTCATTCAATTCTGAGGCTAATAGGGATGAGAGTTTTAATTTGAGCTTTGCTCACTTGAAGCCGATGTTACAGGAGCTGTGAGAACAAGTTTCAATTGGCACCGCAATGTGAGTGGAAACAGTTCTTTGAATTTAGAACAATACAGTCAAAGCATCGTTAATGGTAGCAATGCCTTGTTTTGACGCCAAACGATGATTCCGAAAAACTTGTAATTCAACTTCAAGTGAAGCTTCGTCCGGTTTGGCATTGGGTGGAAACAAGTCAATCAGCGACAACACATCTCTGGAAATAATTTTACTTTTAGGAAACAGCGGGCTCTATGATCTTGAAGGCCACTTTCAAGTTATCTTCAAGCAATAATATTTGGGCTTCAAGCACTTGCAGGAACTCTTTCCTGTAAAACGTTTGCAACACAAAATGAACAGCGTTTTCAGGCGTATCATCAATTCTGCGTGGTGCCACTCTCTTCCTGTGGTGCTTAGCAAACTCTGATTCAGCATTGACACCATGTTTAGCACTAAACGCAACAGCAGCTTCTATTTGAAGATTTAGGTTTTCTTCCAAAGCATCGGCAATATTCAGTTCAATGGCTTGAACTTGCTTTGTTAAAATCCTCGTTTTAGTCATAACATTTCTCATGAGCATTAAGGCCAGGATGAATTCGAAACATTTGACGGATTCTTAGCTTTAACCCTCGTCTTGGCATCTTCTGATTCCGCTTCTTTATCCAAAGCAGCAATTATGCCATCAGAAGTCACCCACACTGCCACAATAGTCTCTGAGCGAGCAACTCACGAGTGACAGAAAGTTTCCTCAGAGTGAAGTGCCCCCTCTATATCTTCTATATCCTTTATATCCTGACGAAAAGTTTGCACGGAAATTTTTTTCGACAAGTCGGGCACAATGGGAAAAAGTCGGGAAATTTCTTTCTGCCCCCTAATTTTTCCCTTCCCGTACACCTATGCCTCGTGTGTATAGCTATAACTGCTCGCAATTGGTTCCGACAAAATAGTACGCATTCAAAATATAGTAAATGTTATTTTGAGATGTTTTGTCGAACTATAATTACCGTAATGTTCCATACAAACCGGTGATTTAACCATAGCCTCCCATCGCGCCCTTTGGACCGCGCATAAAACGGGCTCTGGATTTGGTTTGGGGCCGACTTTATAATAACCATCAGGACCGAATGTTTCAATATTGGGGGGGTGTCACCCCTCATTTGCGCCCCTGGTAGAGGGAAATTATCGGGTGGAAATTTATATACATTGATTAAACCTACCGAGGAACAGCTGCAAAAAATGCAACTTTTAGGTCCCTGGCAGGAATCGAATTACCTGCGGCCCTACGATTCCGGTGCAGCGCTTGTGGTTAGAGCTCGACCACTGGCGTAGCTCTGTAGCTCAGTTGGTTAGAGCTCGAGCACTGGCGTAGCTCTGTAGCTCAGTTGGTTAGAGCTCGACCACTGGCGTAGCTCTGTAGCTCAGTTGGTTAGAGCGCTGCACCGGAATCGCAGGGCCGTAGGTTCGATTCCTGCCAGGGATAGGAAGTTGCATTTTTCGCAGCTGTTCCTGGTTAGGTCTAATAAATGTATATAAATTTCTACTCGATAATTTCCATCTACAATACCCTTCAACTGAAAAGTAGCCTTTATATAGGCGGAGTAAAATATAGCCTGCGCGCGGTCTCATGACATCCGTCAAACGACGAGACTGCCCACAGGCTAAATAGGATAGTAAAGTATAGGGCGCATTGGGGCGCAATGTAACCCAATATATTTTCAAAGTGACAATATATTTAAAGATCTCAGCTCACCTTTATGCTTTATCCTTTAGTCTAAAGCTATCTTATAGCAAGTCATTGTATAGCACATATTTTCATAATTTTAGTACTTTTTTCATATATTTATATAGGTTGAAGTGGCCAATATTGACGACATTCTTATCTTCCGGAAGGGCAGCTATTCCTACTTTGGTTTAAAATTGACAAGTTCGCGGTAGGTTTGGAATAGGAGTGGGTTTGAACATCACTTCAGTGTCAGAATACAATAATTGAATTGCATGCAGTATTTATATTTTGTGTTTTCCTTAATAGGCCTAATATATATGTTGTTTTTGTTAAAGGACTGATGTCACGTTACAGGAAAGTCATATTGGAGATTTCGATGTAAGTTCTTCAACAGCACTGTTTGCACGTCTTTAGAAAGGTTCAGATTTGACTTCCAGTTTTCCACTACCGCTAGCCAATCAGATGCGTTTGATATATCCGCTTAACCAGTCAGATGTGTAATAAAAGGTAGTGGTAGCGGTGTGAAAGTCAAATCTGAACCTCGCTAATGATGCACCAAGGACCGGTTTGTTTATTTGAATCTGGTTAGGTTATTTAACAACTAAATTCATTCTTCAAGACTTTGACTTGTCTTATCCTGCTCAAAACACTCAAATTACTTCCAATATCTTATTAGCAGGAAGTAAAGGACCTTGTCTTCTTTTTCAAATGTTTACAAGGTCTTTATGATCTAGATGTCTTTTCTTTTGTCATTTTCTCGTCTCTCCCACTCGTACAAACCAACAAAGGTTACTAACTCCTAATCTTTGCAGAACTTCTCTTTTTAGAGACTCGTTTTTCAATCCGATTGTTTTTCTTTAGAACATAGTCGTCACGCTCATATCATTGAACGTGCCTCTATTTGAGGCCTCTTTCAAACACAATCTGTTTTCTCATTACCTTTCCAAACTTGAATCTACATTTGGCATGAATAGAATGCGCACTTGGAAAACCTATTGTTCCAAGTGTACCAAGGTTAATTTCGTGCACTTTTCATGTTAATATTTGTTCAAATATATTAGTGTGTTAATGTGTGTTTGTGTCCCTAAATATGTTATAACTATTGTTGTCATTCTTAATATATGACTTTGGTTGGTCTTAATATATATATATGGGATTTGTTGACTGTATCTTCAACCTTATTTTCCTTCATATATTCTTACATTTAATATAGTTTTGTTCATGTATAAAAGGTTGTAACGCTAATAAATAAAAAAGATACAACTACCTGAAAATACAACCAGAACTGCGACGTTTCGAGCGAAGGCCCTCAGTTTGGAAGGCCCTTCGAGCGAAGAGCCTTCGCTCGTCCAATAGTCTCCCTTGCAGCCTGTTCGCGGGTGACTGTTCAACCGCGAACAGGCTGCGAGGGAGACTACACCATTGAACTATAAATAAACTGGAAGGCTAACTGCTATGATGAAGGCCTATGATTTGATGAAGCCAAAATAGTTTTTCTGAGTTATGAGCAGAAATACTTGACCCCAAACGTCGGGCTATATATCAAATTGAAGCTATTGAAAATTGCTATTCGGTGTGGAAATTTCAAGACTTCAGTGAAAAGAAAAATATTTAAAAAATACAAAAACAACTGCAAAACGGCAAATTATCGGTAATTATGTTTGTAGTTTTTCAATATTTCCCTTTTAGCTAAAGTCTTGAAATTTCTACACCAAATAGCGTTTTTCAATAGCTTCAATTTGATATATAGCCCAACGTTCAGTGTCGAGTATTTCTGCTCATAACTCAGAAAAACTAAAATGCACTGGCTTCAATTCCCCCCCTCCCCCCCCCCCTGAGTTAGCCTTCCAGTTTATTTATAGTTCAATGGACTACACTCATCCAAGTTCTGCTTGTATTTTTAAAGTAGTTGTATCCCTCTCAATCCACAACTGTCTTGTTATCGTTGCTACCTACACTGGCACAGACCGTTCAAGTTTATTAGATTGTTTATCTTGTTTTTGGTTATATACTATCAAGTATATTTTAAAAATACGTTTTCTTTGTGATTATTATTTAGCTGACGCTCCTACGATTCACTGTTGACATCTTAGCACAATTTATTTTATCAAGATATATATCACGTAAGTTCGAATCAGTGTTCAAGGACTCCATTTTGTTCCAAATTTGTGTTCTAAATCAACACAGACCTTAAAATTTTTTGGAGGTACATTGTGCATGATCAAACAGTTTCATCCTCCAAAAGTTTTCAATTATTCAGCGTTGATCATCGTGATACTGCTATGAATTCTATGAATGAATCCTGCCAATACCTTCGTTTAGTCGTGCAGTAAATAAAGTGAGTTTGGGCATTCGTGGGTTTTCGGTTTCCAGCATGGCTGGACAAACCCATGCACTATTAATTTAACCATGCACTATGCATATAGATCATATATAGTCGCATCGTCTCTCAGCACCTTATCACTGCAGCTATTGGTTGAAAGTCAGCAAATTCCTAGATTTTCAGCTCTTTTCGTTTTTGGACGTTGAACTATATATAGGTTATCACGTACAGGTCATAGAAGGCAGTAGCTGATTATGCATGTTCAACGGCTATATTGGATAAATTTGACATTGATTGAAAATTTGAAGGTTTATTGCTCTGTTAAGCTAACTATTACCATCACTTCTGTCTCGTCCTCAGTCGCTCATCTCGCGTTAAATGATGCTTAGAATATTCCCATGAGCCTTTGCGTCATGTCGTTCTTTTAAGGCATTCCCATGGATCATTTCGCGAATTTTTGAGAGACTGCTATGATAAAGTGATAATAAATACTTTGATCAAAGTGTGGTAGTGTGAACCGTCCACACATTCAGTTTGTTCCTAGGCCAATTTGTTCCTAATACACCTTTTTTTTCCAAACATGCAGCATTACATGTTCCTGCGTGATTAAAAAAATAGAGTATGGCTTATTGTTTTTAGCAAAGATGGAAGAAGGATTTAAATTGCCATTGCCAAAAAATGTCGTACTGGCGAATAGTGAGACAGCAATAGGAAAGGTACTGTAACGCTCATTTACTCTTTGATTGTGACTGTTTAGGTTGGAGTTTGCCTAAAATGCAAAATGAGGATATTGAAAACAGCAATAAATCATTTTGTTGAAAAAGGGGATTGCCCCTATGCGGGCACTTGTTTTGCATTCCAGTTGCCATGAACGAACTGTACTCAGCCTTGTGTCCAGACTTTTCTCCCTCGTTAATTCAGGATCGACACGCTGGGAAAGATTGGTATGCATGACAACAAAAAATATAACAATAACAGATATTAGTATAATTACATAGGTGATTATTGAAAATTCTCCACGCTGATTGGTTGCCGTTGAGGTGATTATTACGCGATAATCACCTAAGCGATTTTCAAAATGGCGGCCGAAGCCTTTTCTGTCAATTAAATGACGAAGAAATGTGTATTTTCTTATTTTTTTCCCAAATAATCACCTATGAAATTATACTAAAACAATTATTCACCTCAGGCTCGGTGATTATCGTGAATAAAAACCTCGACTTCGTCTCGGTTTTTATTCACCGATAATCACCTCGCCTTCGGCGAATAATTGTTAAATAACACGTTTATCTAAAAATGCGTCACAAACACCGATCGCTTTTGTTATATTTCTATGCATATATATAAATATCTATATAATTTACATAATATAAAATCTGTAATAAGAGTATATATAGAATGTTAGGAGTCTAGCCTTTTCAAACCGGCCGACTTCCATGTACGAGGATCGTCCAAAGGGAACTCTAAGAATGATTGTTTCATCCGGGGAACGTCTCGTAGACCTCATAACTGAAATCATCGGACGAACATCATCAATAAGAACTAGTTTATGAACAAGTTTGTTCATGCATGAAGACAAGATCTAAAAATTCATGCCAATATGAGACTGGAATTATATAGTTTAGTATTTTGCCAGCGGATTTCATACGATACATCAGAGGTGAATCCAAAGATCAAAATAAATTTGGTAGCTCTTCTTTGGACTTTCTCAATATCCTGAATTAAACCGATTGATTGCATCAGGACACCGACTACTTGACTTGACGAGGCAAACTTGCTACGGACAAGCTGAATGTAAAGCAACCTTCTAGCTTCTAAATCAATGACTTCCAGGGTAGAATGCCTAATCAAACTGAGCATCTTATTTGCTTGGGGACGAGTACCTTCAACCTGCTCTTTCCAAGTCACTTTGGTATTCAAAATTATTCCCAAATCTACTGTCCTTTACTTTACTGAAAAACGACAGGATTTATTTTCCTTGCATTGGACTTGACATTTGTTAGTATTAAAACTTATATCACCATGCATGGGAACGCAGATTCAGAAGCTGGAGTTGGTATTGCGATTTGCGAAACGAAGTTTGTTTTTGGCAACGTCTTCGTGCTTCTGGTGCACTTGACTTGCGCATGCTCCAGGGCACATTGCTGTAGTACTGTGTCTGGCTATTGTATTTTTCTTGCCATATTGTGTTGGTTCCAGATGTCAAAGTATTTTTAACTGTGATCAATATGTGACATCCCTAGTAAGTATAGCGCTTTTCCTTTTCTCTCTCAATGCTAGGTCTTCGCTTAATATCGTCGGATGGCGATGTTGAACAGCGAGGTTAAATGTGAAAGAAAGTTCGGCCGTACCTTTTATACCTTTTTCTTTTGTATAGAATTACATCTTGATTTTCACTGATTTTGGGATGCAGATGGCACTGTAATTTAAACTAGTGATGTTCGTTTCTGTGAAGTGATAGAGAAACATTAAGGATATAATCATGCATGGCATATAGTCGCAATAAACATTCATAGCATAATATATTTATTATTGCATTTTGTATTGTATTTGTGTACGATTAAGGGAAACTACAAGAAATACAATCATTGTAATCCATTTCACGAAACATTGACCACAAATGTTCCGAACTTCGTTGCGAAGTTCGGAAGTTCATATTGGAATTCACAAGCCAACTTGTAAACAAAGTCCCCGATTGGTCCCTGAAGTAAAAGAAGCCAATCAAATGCGTACAGTTTACAAAAAAACTGGTTTGTGAATCGCATTATGAACTTTTGAACTTCGCAACGAACTTGCGAACTTCGCAACGAAGTTCGGAACATTTGTGGTCAAAGTTTCGTGAAACCGACTATAACTCGTTCAATTTGGTTAGTATTGTCAATATGGGTAAAAATGTCATTACCGTTGTTCAATGGTCCATCTGATGTGTATTTTCTGTAGGCCTGAAGCTAAGGTATTCCATTGCAAGCCAGTGAGAAGTAGTGGTAGCGGAAGTCAAATCTGAACCTCTCTAATATATACGTAACTGCGGAAACGCGGAAATTACGATCCCTCATAACATCGTAATAATTCATTTAACTTTTAACTAAACAGAAGCAGAAATTTATCACAAGAACAAGTATTTATTCCCGAAATCATATGAAACAATTTTTTTTCAAATGAATTGATGGACTGCCGACTTCTGAAACATTCAATATCTTGGAGCATGCGTTCTTTCACGCTGAAGCTTCCCACAATCGCAATGAAAAATAAGAAGGCATTCAATTGTTGGTGGGGTTGTTTACCTCAGCAAGGGTGACAAATATCTATCAGTTGAAACAAAATACTATATATACAGTTGTGTTTTAAGAGATTACTAAAAAAGAAGTGATCTTAACTGAGAAAATCGAGGGGAACGTTTATGCATGTAAGGGGAATTATGTGCATGTTCCGGATCCAAAATGAGTATCCTGAAACGCCCGAGAGGAATTGGTTCCTGAGCGGTCGTTAATCTGCAGTACAGAGACAACTATTCACTGAGATCGACGGCTCGCGAAGAAATATGTGACTAAAATTTGGTAAGTTTTTTATATAAAATAAAACTTACTACTCTTATCTAGTTTCTGTTAAAACGTTGTTTACATGTACAGAAAAAGCTTTCTGGCAAACTATAAAGTGAAGCAACACTGAAAACTGCTCTGTTTTCGAATTTTATTAAAATCCAGATTTTAAATAAAATTTTATTTTTAAAATGAAATTTTATTTCAATTTATTTTTTTATTGATAAAATCGAATTTTTTAAAATCCGAAAATCTGTTGTTGCCCGGACCTCTAACTCGGTCAATAACTTATACTTTGAGTGAATGTCTTTTGTGTTATATGAATGAATGTCTAACGTTATATATAGACTATATTACATGTATACATAAATTCTACTTAAACCATTCATATTTATCATTCGATATTTATCACTATCTGCCTTGGTGTGGTTCATTTTGGGTTTTCATCAGTGCTGGTTGATTATGATTGCGAGATTCTGCTGGCACTTCACTCCACCATGACAGTTCTGTTCTACTGAATAAGGGTGCTTCCTTGCTTAGATCTGTACTGAAATATTTTCAACTTTTCTTTGAGGATTGCTGTTGTTCCACGAGGGCAAGTATTGCGTCCATTTTCGTCTCAAGTATTTGCAGTTTCTTGTTCATATGATAAACAGTTGATTCAAGTTTTCCTTGGTTCGTTTCATCATCTTTTTCTAAAGGTGGTTCATGAAACTCACAACCTCGAGAATGACTTGCTGTCGATTCCTCTGACTCGCTGTTCTGTTCTTCTGCAGGTTCCTGATCGCATGTCCACTTATCCGTGATGTTTTGACCTCGCCTGTGACGACATTGTGGCGGATTACTTTGCTCATAATGCGGATTACTTTGCTCAAAGTTAAGATCGTCTTCATTAAGTTTTTCATTTATTTTAGTAAAATTATGTTTTCCATGTGGTATGCCATTTATTTGTTCTTCTTTATTGTTCTCAATGATATTGGCAAACCTCCAGAGTTTTTGAACGTCATCATTAGAGCCACATGTTGAACTCAGAACACACAATGGAAGTGCAACTAATGTTTCGTTTATTCCTCCTTTCTTGTTCTTTTTCTTTTGTGAGAAACTAATCTCATGGTCTTGCGCATTACAATTTCGTTTCGCTTTCTGTCGTCCAAGCCACGAGGTGAAGAAATGTAAACCGTGGTGTTCAGAACAGGTTTCTTCAACTTCTATTGCATCCCACGAACTCAGGATCTACAAAGTCAGTATAAAATATTCTGTACAAACGTAATGTAGAGATCAATTTCTTTGAATATAAATTTTATATTATATCGGAAAATGTACCTGGCTTGTAAGTACTGTTTTTTTCATTATAGTACTCATTTTCTTCTTGAGATTCTTGCTAAACTCTGGAAACATTTGCAAGACTTCCTTGAGATCATTTACTTCCAAAATATGAATGTCAACACAGCATGAACAACGCAGCATCACTGCTGATTTATGTACGCCACTATTTTCAGTTAAATTCAAATTACCAAATGCATCACCTTCACCTATAACAAAGGACCAAAACTTTATATCACAAAGGAATACAAAATATATAATAAATTTTCCGTTAAGATTTAGCGTTCTCAATTCTGTGTGATGATGACGGATCTTTTTGTATTCCCAAATAATTTCACGTTCTGAAATAAATTGTATCCACAGCATGTATTTAGTGTCAAAATGTGTCTGTAAATATTCAATTTTCGTATTTCATAAATCAACCTCTCTATCGTTTTCTGATGGAAAAGGAGGTGATAAAGGAGGATTGTCAGGAATAATTGGTGGAAGGCTCCTCGACATTGTTTTCTTTTCTGCAATCCCCTTCCCTCCCTTCATTACTATCTCCCAGTCTCTTTACATCCTCTGCAATTGTTCCACTGTTGTGGTGAATGAAGCAAGTGATCAAATAAAGACAATGTAACCATGATGCTCTGGAAATATAATCTTTTTTCTTTGGATTTAAAATATTTTCAACTATATGGAAAACCTTACCAAGAGTTCCAACCACTGCTCCGTTTCGACAAACATCCAGTCTACCTCGGTTGATGAAATAAATAGAATTTACAATGGATCCTTGTCGTATGATGACGTTGTTTGGAAGATGATGAAGTCGAATCATCCTTGTAGCCAAACCCCATAAGCAACCTTCTTCAGCGCTTTCAAACAGTTGACAGTTTTTGACAACGTTAAAGTGTAAATAACAACTTATTTCTTCTTGAAGATTTTTTGGAAACTGTTTCATCACCTAGAGAAGAAAGGAATCGTTGAAATTGGTTCGACTAATCTATTGGCTATCGTTGTCATGGAGGTGGTGTTTCTGTCGCTATCTCTCTTGTCGTCTTGAGTTCAAAGTTTTGGCGAAAATTCAATGTAAGTTGAAGTTTGATTGTAATTCTATGAGTTATTGGACAAGGAAACTAAGGAGTCACCCATCCATGACATTTTTGGGTTTGTGAAATGTCTTACTGTTACAATAAATACTGTCATTGATAGTGATGCAACTACCTGAATATTACGACGACTTACTTCGTTACTAACTTCCCGACGAAAGGCCTTCGCTCGAAACGGCGAAGTTCTCCTTGTATTTTTCAGGTAGTTGCATCCTTATCCGAAGTTTTCTTATTATTGGCATTAGAGACCTTACGATTTAGGACGGCAACGCGACGGCAACGGCTACCAATACAATAAATCATTGAAAAGAATTGAATAATTACAATATATGAATAATTTAGACAATGTCCTTCGCTCTGTTTACAACGCCAAATCACAGATTGATACAACGGCTGCATTTCAAGCCGCAACAAGTGCAACTTCAAACTGGGTTAAGCAGAACTCTTCCCAACCATAAAACCCATGTCTTCAACTTCTAAGACTGTATTAAATTCACGCGGTTGATAATATACGACGAATTATCTTTACTACCATTTATTTGAAGAAGTTAACGTTTGGTTTGGCCTATTACCTACACTGGCACAGACCGCGTTCAAGATTATATCACTGTCATTATAGTAGCCTTGTTTAAGGCGTTTTCCTTTACCTTCATTGTTGAAATTCCTTTCGTCTGTGTCCACATGTGTCGTGCATAATCCTTCACTTTTCGTGCCAGAGGACCTTTAATTTTATGAAATCCAAGAAAATACTTCACAGACTGCATTCGTTCTCGGAACTTGAATGTTCCGGAATAGTGGCCATATATGATGGCGGAAACATTACCAAACACAGCAGCAAACAGTAATGCTAAAATAAACAACATTTATAATAGTTGCCAATAGCAAAAGAAGAAGCAGAGGCTTACGAAAGTTTTATGAGATGCACATTTCGCTACATGCTTGGCAGAAACGTCGTTGGGATGTGAATGTTTATATCTGCTACACCTTTAATCGCATGGTGTTTGAGCTGGAAACTCCAACTTAATTTAGCCATGTGATATTTCAAATACATGTATTTGCACACGTGAAGTTAAAATTCGATTTTAAGAAATTTCACATAATATATTATATACCATTGGGGAAAAATGTTGCTATATTTAGAAAACATTCAATACCCGCCAACAATTCAAATCATCGTTAATATATCAAATAGCAGAGGTGCCTATAGACCAATAATTCGAAAAATAGTTGTCATTCTTCTTCCGATATTACTTTCAGCCAAGGTAATCACTGCGGCCTTATAAAATACTGTACTTCAAAAGACTAACAGTTTTACTTAATATTTTCTTTGAGAAATTAAATGTTAAAAATACCGACGTTCATTTTGCTTCCATGGATCGTTTTGCTTAGACTAACAGTTTCTGGTAATGCATAAAATAATAAATCATGTAAAATCGTGGTAGCTTGTTTTTGAATCGGTCAATAGTAAAATTTTGAGAAAATCGTTGTACAACTACTGAAAAGTGAACAATGAATTTGGCGATTTTTGCCAAAACAAGGAATTTTTGCACATCATGAGTTGATAACTTGGACTGGTTACACTTAACTGGCTTTTAGATTGTGCATACTCAATCCTCTAGTTTCTTTCTTAATTCCATATTCAAAAATTATCCTATTTCACAACTTACCTCCAATCAACATGCTCACAATGGTAAAGAGCTTCTCAAAATCTGTATTTGCTGACACGTTACCAAACCCTACACTTGTTAAACATGTTAATGTAAAATAAAGCGAGGTGAGATAGCGAGCTCTCAAGGATGGTCCACCAATAGTTTGATTATAAAACGGTTCTTCATTGTTAATAGCCAGCTGGGACAGCCATGAGTTGGGAATTGATTTGTTGTTTTCATTGTAGCCAATAGTATACCAGACACATGCCAACCAATGAGCAACCAGCGAGAATGCAAACACCATGAGAAATAGCAATGAAACACTTTTCTCGTAATTCTGGTCCAATCGTCTCGCAGCTTGGAACAGACGCAACAGACGAACTGTCTTAAGGAGGCTCAGCGATGTTGTACTCTAAAAATGGAATAAAAATGTTTGTCGTTGAAACTCAGCAGCAGTATCAGCGACTAACCACCGCCTCTCATCCTAACTTTAAACTTTGTAAAGACAATTTGTATGCAATAATCCCACTTTCTGGGTCGAATTGAAGGCTGAACTGGTTTCATGTCCCAGTAGTGTGTTCCGATATTACGAAAGTCACCAAACTGTGGAAATCGCATCAAAAATTCGTATCGCCGCCACTCCCACAAACGTCTACGACCCCACCTACATATTTTTGCATTGTTTACAATTCTAATTTTAAACAGCCAGTCGACGTTTAATTGTAATTGTTACCAAGAACCGGATTGGCTGGTCGTAGGCGTTTGTGGGAGTGGCGGCGATACGAATTTTTGATGCGATTCCACAGTTCGGTGAATTTCGTAATAACGCCATGCACAAGGTTGCCACATCAAACAAAACACTCTTTGATACCAGCTCTTTTAACCTCCACGTGTGTAGGTTATAGTCCCAGACGAATCTCTAGCCTGTAACCATATAAATGCATGTAGATCGATTCCGAATTTTTAGAGATCTCGTTTTATTACAACATTTCTTACTTTGGTCTTTCTAGTATAATTTTGTTCAGAATAAGAAATAATTACCTCAAGTGCAGGTACAGCAATTAAATCCCACGGTATCGCAGCAACGAGATCAACAATAAAATAGGTTCTTAAATAGCGTATAGCGATCTTTTTAGGGTTTGCAACCAAAGCATCATTCTTTCCAATGTATGTTGTGCGAAAGTTGACAATGATATCACAGAAGAAGAATAGATCCACACACAGATCAATCACAATTATACTTGCATATGTTTTGTCACGGCTGAATAAGTCGCCTAGGGAAAATAAAAAAATGACTCCTTATGAGTTGTGTTCTGGGGCTAGATAAAGTCGAATTAGATATCAAGAAAAATTTTCTGAGTCCCGCTTAGCACAGACTTGCTTCAAGTACCTCTTTCTGTGGCGTCCCAGTCGTAGCACCTAACAAGACACGATCTTGTGGGCAACAAGGAAGGAGGAACTCGGGGCAAGTCTGCGTCCAGTGAGACATACTGCCAGCAATTGCCTTGGGAATGAGGGCGTAACATTGTATTAAGGGTTCTGATAACTACAGCTGTACAACAATTTATATAATCGCTTATTCGTTTCAGAGGGCTTCTTGACATGTGACATTTTCCTCATAAAAAAATTGGAAAGTTAAAACAATGAAAGCAATGGTATGTGCCGAAGTATTTTTAGGAGCATTGTGGAAGTTAATAACACAAATTAAATGACGAGAAATACCGACCACCAATTCAGTGCCTTTTTTAAGGAATCAACCAAAACAGGAAAAAAGGCAGAACGAAAAATATGAGCCGTCGAGGTTTGGCGAACGCGCGAGTCTGAAGAGAGATTTTGTAAAACTTTAATTTATTAACTTCAGCTATATTTTACTTTAAACAATGACTTCAACTCTTTGTAGCTATAATCGTACAGCTATAACGTAGCCAAACCTTAATTTTGCGGGGGAGGGGGGCGAACATCACGCCAAAGGCGTAAGACCGTCTAGGAGGGTCCGGGGTCCGGAAAATTTTGAAATCCAGGGCCCCTGAATTGCGATTTCATGCATTTTGGGGGTGAAATCTAGCAGAATTCCAAAGATTATAAAGTACATCGAAGACATGAACTTTTCCAGACATTTCTACTCGGAATTAAATAAATTGGAAAAGTCACCTTGAAAAATAGGAGGAGGGGTCAGTGTCACCTTATTTCCTCCCTATGATGCTGGGGGGGGGGATTTCAATGTGATTTTGATCAGAAATGTTGCATTTAAATCATTTTAGGTTCTATGAGACACCATTTCCGCATTCTCAAAATTGCGTTGCTTTTTCATACGATACAGAATAAGTCTGAGAAGAAATATTCATGCTATGATGATGCATACATGTATTTAACAATTAAAAATGTAAACTAAATCTATTCACTTCTTGGAACCATATCTACAACTGCTTTAACGAGATTTCACAAATCAAGTTCCTCCAGTATATCCTCTTTTTCCTCAGTCGAGACGTACTTAATCAGTTTCAGCTTCGAGCATGTAACGTGTACCACCCCCCCCCCACCCCCACCCCCAATTTCTCTAAGGATTTAGCCTTTCTGAGAGAATGGTTTTTGTGGCGATTGGGGGGGGGGGCTCTTAATATAACTTGATATTTCTTAAGAAAAAAATTTTGCAATAAAACCTCCCAAAACAAAACACAACGCCTCTGTGGAGGAGAGTGCTAGGAAATAGTCGCAAGGCTTGCAAAGGCTAGCATTTTATCGGATTGTTTGCATGAAATCTATAGCTATTATGAAATACTCGGTGAAGAACAATATGAATTACACACAAGATGGCTGTGGAGGAGGCTATGGAAGGGCATAATCTCATCATCAAGTAAATCAACTGCAATTCTGACAGCAATCATGAGCAATTCTGCTTCGCACTTCGGGGGCAGAAATGGCTTTACTGGGGGGGGGGGGATTCTTTCCCTGGGGGGCAATTGCCTCCCCAGATATATAGTTAAAAAAGGATAATGCGTAACTCCGCGTAACTCCGATAAGCCTTGTAACTCCGTAAGCCTTGTAAGCCGCGTAACTCCGATAATGCGTAACTCCGTAAGCCTTGTTTTAGACATTGAATTTCGGTCGCGTGAAATGCAACTAAGACACTAGATAATGAAGGCTGAAGCTTAATGAGGTTGATCATCTCATTATTGTCTTAGTACTGCATGCATACATTATACACGTCCTAATTACGCATTCAGTATTTTTTTAATTGCTCGGGAAAAGTAAGACAAAATTTTGTTCATTTCTCGTTCAATTCTTAACCAAATTCAACCAAAATTTAACCAGTTCTTCCTTAGCCGATGGGAAATGCATTCAAAAAATTTCGCATGAATCTGTTTGGTATTTTTTGAGTTATCGTGCTGACAGACAAACACACATACACACATACAAACCCAGATGATTACATAACCTCCTGGCGGAGGTAAAAATGTTTGGTATACAAATTATTTGTTGGAATCTTTTATTCGTTTTTAAATAAACTAAAATACCGCGTATGCTCAATAGCTTGGTGTCAGCCTCATTTCCAGGCTCTCTCCTCGTATATAGGTCTTATTTTGATATACTTACTCACATTTTAGGCGCATGTGCAAGCCAATCAATGGCATGGGCATACGGGCCTAGTCTTATTTGGGGGGGGGGGGCACAGTATAGTTTGCCCGAACAGGCAAACTTAACATTGATATTTCTCCCCCAAAAAGTTGGCGAGCGGCGTGGGGGAGGGTCATATGATACCAAAAAAAAATTTTCTCGACATACCAAAAACATTTTTCCGCACATACCAAAAACTTGCCAGTAAACATACGAAAATTTTGCCGGATATATAAAAAAAATTCCCTAATATCTAGTAATTTTTGCAAACATACAAACATTTTTTCACTAAAATGTCGCATTGATTTTGCCCGAATGTCGCATTGATTTTTGCGCGACCGCAGAAATTTTGGGAGGGGCACGTGCCCCCCCCCCGGCCCATACCCCTATGATCAATGGACAACTTGCATGTTAGACTAAATTTTAATCTAAGTAAAGACAAGGGAATCAAACACCACATCTAAAAAGAACATAATGATTAATGAAATTAGACAAAATATACAAACATCGCAAGGCTAGATTTTCCGTATTTTACAACATTTCGTAACCAAATTTTACAATTTTACTAATTTTAATAAGTCCTTTATGTACTATTTAAAAAACGAGCAGGAGTGTTTTATTAGGTTTAAAGCCACGAGCGCGCAGCGCGAGTGGCTTTAGACCTAATAAAATACGACCTGCGAGTTTTTTAAATGACTTCAAAAACATTTGCATAATAAGTCAATCTTTATATAAAACTCTTTATATAAAAATCTTTATATAATTTGCATAACAATGGTCTTTTGTTAAAGTGTTCTTTAGCTGGTATAAAGACGTATGCACGTGACTAATTTTTTACTCAAGATTGGATAATTGCTTCATGAATTATTAATGAGTTTTTGAAGGGAATTTACTCTTCAGTTTTTGCTTACATAAAAAATTAGTCTAACATGCAAGTTGTCCGTCTCTAGTATAGCAAGATGAAGTTCTTTACTGAAATAATCCGAGATTGCTTACTCGGATAAACACAATCTTATCCAGTATAAAGACGTGACATTTTACTCAATGATGTCTAGATTACAACATTGTAACGCTTGTGGTAAGGTAGTCCTTTAATACATGCTAAAATCTAATAACGTTTTCAGGTGTATCTCAAATATTCTACATAGTATGGCAAGTATGTCTAAATCACAACAGCAGTAGCCAAGTATCTTTTCTCCTTCATGTCGGGAAGATCCTGCCACGAAAATCGCTCAAAATTGAAAACTTCAACTGATTTCAAATAATGCCCTCTCTCATCCCTTCCTCCTAGTACTACAATTGTATTCTCAATAACAACTGCCATACATCCTTGCCTCTTGTGTAACATGGGAGGCAACATATGACTTTTTCCAGTCTTGATGTTATAAATTATAACATTGTTTAATGCTATACGATCCTTGTCAACCCCACCAATGATCACGACATTCTCAGCCCACTTGACTGTCGCCATTTCACTCACTGGATTGGGAAGCGCAGGTAACTGTTTACAATCGTTCTTCTTGATGTCATAGCTTAACACACTGCTGTGGTTGTCTTTGTAGTCCCATGATTTCTTTCCCCCAACGATCAAAATACTATCATCACATAATACTGTGTTGTGATAAACTCTTGGTTCAGGCATCTTGGATACCAGCTTAACAGTGTAAGGTGGTTTAAGTTGGACTTCGTGAATACAGTCAGAGAAGACATGTTGATCTGCATTATAACCTCCAGTAACCAACAAGGTATCCTTGTACACCACACTGCTGTGTGCTTGCGTTTTAGAAGGGAGTTTGGCTGCAAAAGCACTCCAGTTAATTGACAGATCAGGGATTGGACAAATGTTCATTTGGGTCATGTTATCTTCAGCTACAGTACCATGCGAACCTCCCGCTACAGTCAAATGATTATTGTAAACAAATGAAGGTGCGCTGTGAAGCTTCCCTGGCAGGGGCTTTAATACAGACCACAATCTCTGACGGTAGTTAAATATTTCTACCGAGTTTCTCCCCACACCACCAGCAACAAATATATGTTGATTTTCTCTCCCGCCACTCGCTGTGCCACTTACATCTCTTGTGATTTCCTCCTGCTTTCTTTCTTTGCTCTCTATCTTCTCAAGTACTGCTTCTTTCAAGTGATCAAAGCCATCTTTTACTTCATTTAAACTCATTTTTATTCCTCTCACTTCATTATTCATTGCTTCGAACTTCGCTTCCACGTTCGCTTGCAAGTTCCCTATTTTCGTGTTCATGTTTTCCTGTTTCGTGTCGGTGTTGGCCATTTTCGTGTTTATATTTTTCATTTCGGTGTTAATATTTGCCAGCTTCGTGTCGATGTTTGCTATTTTCGTGTCCATGTTTTTCAGTTTCGTGTCCGTATGTGCCATTTTCGTGTTGATTTTAGTGTTCTGGTTTGCGATTTCCGTTTGCATGCCCTCCATCATCGTGCTGATTTCTCCACAGTTGTGGCACTTCAACTTTCTAAATTGACACAGTTCACTCTCGTGATATGTACGATCTCTTTTACTGATTGTCTCACCACAACCTTGATTTCCACAAACGACTGGAGTAAACCCGCATTCGTCGACATGTCGGTTTAAATTCTGCAACTGTACGAGTTCTCGACATCCTCTGTCGTAATGATCGCAACGAATCTTTCGTTCATCCAAGTAATTCTTCACAATTCTTGGGACTTCAGACAACGTTTCGACACTTAGCTCGTCAGCACACGTTGGGCATGTATGGGAATTCGTACGAAGATGTTCCGTGATACAGCCGTGGCAGAAATAGTGCTGGTTTCTGCGGCACATCACGGGGTCTTTCAATACGTTATAGCAAATCAAACAGTGGAAATTTTGGTCCACTATCGACTCGAATCTCTCGTCATCATATCCAAGTTGATAATTCGATGCCATATTTACTCGCTGTTCTCCTAAAGTGAAAATAAAGCACTTAATACTGCCGATACTTTACTGTCTAGAACTCGTCCAAATACACAGTTTTGTACCTTTATTTTACTCCTGGAAAATATTTAGTGAACATTCTCTTTAAACGTTGAAGTAAATGAGCAGTAT